AGAGATATAATAGATATATATATATATAGATATATAGATATATATATATATAGATATATAGATATATATATATTTATTTATTTATTTATTTATTCCAGTTGGTTTTACTTTAAATATCGTGCAAGATTGGTTCTAAAGCAGTCGTTCTATAAATTGGGCAAAATATTAGGGAAAATACACTAGTTGCTTTTAAGGGATGCACAAATTTTCACTGATTTTAATACGTTATATCCATGCATTTGGAATTATGACAATAAATACATCGGGGTCTCTATAACATTTTATTACAAAGCATGATAAGAAGGTTTTAAGAGCAATTGTTACTACAAAGCACCGTATTGGTATTTGGTACTGTATTGTGGTATTGAAACGTGATATTAACATTTCCCCATCCATTTTGATATTGATACTCAACAGGCATGATGCAATTTTCCCCCCACAGGAATTGTGATTTGTGTATCCGGACTTGCTACAAATATCTGGAGGCAATAAATAACGGATCATGTATTTCTCTTGGCCTCTGATGGCTGTTTACTTTTATCTATTCAAGTTTCTCGGCCAAGTTTGTTGGTCTGTTTAGCTAAATAAAAATCAATCAATTTACTTCCTTTATGAATTAGTGCTTTTCCCCATTTTTGGCAGAAATATGTGGTTGTGTAACTAACGTGTCTTCTTTTTTTTCGTCACTAAAGTCGACATAGTCAGACAACAACATGAAGATGGCTGAGATATTGTCATTCATTCAAATGCTAGGCAACAGAACCGAGAGAGACTGTCACCTGGCAGGACCATATTGCTGCCGAGTAGACTGATCCAACACGGACTTCCAGCTCAGTACCTCTCAGCAGGAGTCTTATTGGACGTAATTCATCGTCCTAACTTCCTTCCTCTGGCCAACACATCTAGGATCTCAGACTTAATGATGGTGTCGAAGGCCCGGGGCATGCCTATCTCAACAGTGTGAACGTTCAAATGTTTAAAAAACAACAACAATAGCAAGAAAAACTAAGAAGGTAAGCATGGGCATATCCAATACAATGCCTGCACTACAAGTACCATGGCATGACGAGAGACTATAGGAGACACTAGTCTAGTCCGATAAAATGACAACTTTGTTTCTGCTGCGGCGTAATACAACATAGACGTGATTTCACGTATAGAGGGCAAGTGGAGCAAAGTTTGTAAAATGACTTTGATTTTTTTTGTGTGTGTGATGGGCAAATAAATATGTTTTTTGCCCCAAACCTTCGATGGGGAAACCGAGGGTAGTAAACAAAGAGACAGACAAACTGCAAAAACTATCCGAACGTGGGTACTGTAAATGTCAAGACAATCCAAGACGAATGTAAGTGGCACGAAGTAGTAAACTCATGTAACACATATGCTGTGTCATTATAGACCTTTCAGACCACATAATAGTGCACAAAGATAGAGATGAGCCCGTAGTATTTCAAACCTATGCAAATTTTACATTGATTACCCCCTCAGCTTGAAGGAATAGGAACAACGCCTCTTTAGATGGAGAAGGTCTACTTATAGGTAAAGAGACGGAAAATGCTTTAGCTAAGGTCAAACCTTAGAACGAAAGAATACTAGTAGCAAACTTCATATTTAAAGGCTACCCAACTTTAACTGTCATAGTCCAGTACCAGTAGTTTATATCAGTACCAGTAGTTAAGGGTTCTCCTGATGAACCAATCCCTCAGAGCTTTCTCAAACTTGACATTTTGGCTAAACCATTCACCATGGAGGAATACATAGCTGTCAAGAGCAAACTAAAACTGGGTAAGGCAGCTTACCCTGATGGAATTCCTCCGGCGGCTCTAAAACTGTGCGATTTTCATGACATCATGCTGTCATTTGCTAACAAGTTGTTCCTAGGTTTGAGGCCTTAACAGTTGGCGATTGGAACCCTTGTGCCGGTTCCCAACCCAGGTGACTTAACTGAATACACTAACTACAGAGGTATTATGCTCGCTTCGGTTGGAGCAAAGATAACCAACAAAATAGAATACAACCTGGGGCAGATAAGCTCCTCAGACCACACCAAAACGATTTCCGCCCGGGTCGCTAAACAACTTCACAAATCATTGCTCTAGGACAACTAATAAAAGGAGTACTGAGTAAAAATCCGCAGGCAATTATTCATTGATTTTAGCAAAGCTTTTGATAGCTCTCAGGGGAAATGATGAACATCTTAAAAGCGTACGGAATTCCACAGGCACTGGTTGATGCAATCAACATACTGTACAAGAACACACGTGCGAAAGTATTGTCCACCGATGGTTAAACTGAATTGTGCGGTTGTACTACAAGGTGACACACTAACGTCTTACCTCTTTGTTACAGTCTCAGACTTCATAATGAGGCAAACTCTTGGAGAAGAGAAAAAGAACTCTATTTTGAGCTTGAAAGCAGAAAGAGTACTCGTCATCCTGCTGTTGTAATTGATGATCTGGACTTCGCAGATGACATGGCTCTGCTGACAGGAATAATCAAGCAAGCACAGGAACTACTATTGCGTCAGCAAAAGTAGGCTTGAATCTTAACGCGAAGAAAACCAAGCTTATGGCATACAACAAGTTGTTCCCTTCGTCATCCAAAACAGGAGCGGTGACCTAGCATATCAACAAAGGGAGGTCACCAAGAGGGTAGAGGTAGTCAAAAACTTTAAATACCTGGGTTTCAACATGCAGAACTCAGAAAAAAATCGAAATAAGAAAAGCGCTCGCCTAGAGTAGCTGCCATAAGCTAAATAAAATCTGGGAATCAGAGTTATGGAAAACCAAAATTAAACTTCCTGATTGTCACAGAAGAATCGATACTGCTGTTTGGTAGTGAAGCTTGGACGCTGACTTCTTCTTCTTACGCTGAAAAGCACATTAATTGCTGCTACAAAAGATGCTCCGTATGTGTCTGAACATCTTATGGGAGCGAAACTCCCCGACGAGCAACTGTATCAGGAATTGTCTGCACTTACGGAGGAGATCAAAACTCGCAGCATTAAACTTGCATGAAACCGATTTCAAAATCAG